AGCACATATACACCACTCTTCAGTAACTGGAGTATAAAAATTTAAGTTTTATAGACACAAAAATAAATTTGAGTGTTGGACAGCCAAATTAAATTATGCAAATACTGATGCAAATAGCCGAGGCATACAATATATTTGCAGAGCAGGTAATAATGACTTTATTGATACAATACTGTATACTATATGTGACCCTAGTACACAAAACCAGTCATAAGGGTCAATTTTTTAAAATGGAGATTTATACATCATCTGAAAGATGATGAAATAAGCTTTCCATTGATGTATACTGGCCTGTTTGTTAGGATAGGACAATATTTGGCCGAGGAAATTTGGAATCTGAGGGTGCATGCATGCAATAAAAAATCTAAATATTGAGAAAATCGCCTTTAAATTTGTCCAAATGAAGTTACTGTGATGTTTTTATTAGCTGTTTGGACTCTCATTCTGATGGCACCCATTCACTGCAGAGGATCCATTGGTGAGTGATGATGTAATGCTACATTTGTCCAAATCAGAAATAGAAACAAACTCATCTACATCTTGAAAGGCTTGAGGGTGAGCAAATTTTCAGCAAACTTAAATTTTTGCGTTAACTACTCCTTTAAATCTGATTGCTTAAAAAAAAAAAAATAGTAGAACACCTCTACTCAGCAAGTATCACTTAATGTGGGTTATATTTACAATAAATATCAATGGAATATACAGCACTTTCTAGAATCCACTCCTAAAACAACCCAAATCGGACAGTTCTGCATGTAAACCGTGTTAACGCAGTGAAGTGACATTCCTGTGGCTGTCATATAAAAATCAACTTCTGCCTGCTTAGTGGTTAATTTACCCACAATGGGAAGCAGATCGATTCCATAAGGAGCCATTGAAAACATGTTTATGAGGCAAAACCTACACAAAAAAAACAACGCCATCCACAAACCCAAATGCATGGGTATTATTGTGGTAACTAAATCACTTATATTCAGACCACAATAGTTTACCACATAGAATATAGGCTTTCTAAATAAGAACATGCACTGTAAGAAAAAAAAAAAAATCAGTAGAAAAATGGATAATGTCCCAAACGGTGTAAAATTACCAGTGCCGTTTCTGTTAAGTTTACGAGCATTTCCTTCAACGCTAAAACACAATGCAATCACTATATGTGTAAAACACCTGTGAAAATTCAATACAGACTTTTCTTAAAATGCATATAGTAGTGTAATAACGCAAGCACACGTTCTGAACTGCCCAACTGTGCCATATAAATACAACTAACTTCTGAGAAAACAATGAACAATGATGGAGAATGGGGGGTATAAAGAGGCAGACACTGCACTGAAGAGGGCCATTACTGCAAGAGGCTCAGATCTAGATGTTTTCCAAGGTTCCCTCAGATGTGCTGCCAAGCCTGTATGAAAGACCACAAATAGCAAACACTCTTATTACATTGTGACATTTCCAGGCACTCTTACTCAATGGCATTTCTGTTAAGACTTCTCCATTTATTCCTCAGCTCTGCTGCGGCACAGCTATGGCCTTCTTTGTCGCCAGCATTTGGAAATCTGGATCTTTGAGTGTGACCCTGTGTAAGAGGTACACAACCTTTAGGGACAGACAGCGATGTACCTTACCATCTGCGAAATTCTGTGTCCTTCTCATCTCCAATCAAAGAAAGGCACTATGAAGGCTGACATTGTGGCATACGGTGTGGGAAAGCACTTCATGTCCTGTCCTGAAGTGAGAAGCCTTGTAAAAGAGCCATGTGGTGAGTAAAAGTTTGTTCCTCTGGCTTCCAGTGCTCCACACAGGCCTGTTCATACATCTAAGCCCACCTGAAAACACACGGACACCCTCTTGGCTCATGCACACCCATCCATTCAGAAAACTTTGCCATCAACATCAAGAAATACTCTGCAAACATTTGTCATGTTCAGGAAGGAATGTGAGATTAAACTTAATGAATTCCACATGATCAAAAAGCTCCAATAAAAACCTCAAAAGCTAACCAAATTAAAAAAGATGAAATTAAATTTTTTTTAAATCTGTCTGTTTGTAGTATAAAACACTGAGTTTATGGCCAGAAAGAGGCCCAGATAAAAGGGAGCGTATAATAACAACGAGGAATAAATGTGTTTGGTTTTTGGCTGTCTCACATTTTCCAAAGTCCAGACAGGTTCTCTAAAACACATGTGTTAGATCCAAAACTCAAAATCCCAAACCCTTGAGGGCAATTACAAAAATAACTGCAATTACACTGTAATTACTGTTATTACTTAACAATTTTTTTGTTTCATTTACAAAAAAATCTGTTTTATTTGACCCCAAATTCTGTTTTAGGTTTTTATTCAGTTTTAATGCTTTATTTACATTTTAATTAACAATAATAGGGCCCTACGAAATGGGTTACGAAATGTGTATATGAAAGAGTTTTTGTTGACGAAATTAAAGTCACAACTGCACATAATTGCAGTTTTAAATAGGTAACTAACACCACCTAGTGCTGCAACATATATCCAGTGGTTGAAAACTTGATAGATGTGACAAGGCTATTTATCAGAAATATCTGTGATTTTTAAAAAAAACTATCTGTCATGTTCTTCATTATTCAAAAATGGCATTTGGCTGGATCGAAAATATAGCTAACCAGACCAACTATAATCAACTCCCGAACCAACTCTCCAATGGGCTTAACCCAAATGATGAAAACCTTCATTTGAGGATTGCGGGTAATATTTCCATTTCAAAGAAGGGTGGGGCGTGACGTTATTTATGCCTGGAGAGAAGCATGATCCATTCCTACACATTTCACAGTCTCGGATTTCCTACGTTCCATTTCAAACATGTGGGACAGTGCCTTTGTTGCAGCGGTCCTGAGCATGCGCGGACCCCCAAGGGACCTCTCTCCTGATTGGATCCATATGTCTTCCCACGTTACCCCTCTGTGAGCATGCAGCATTATGCTCATGGAAAAATATTTACAACGGCGGAACATTTTTCCTGTACAGATCACCAGATATTGGGATAGTATAACTTGTAAGAGAAACATTACTTTCTCATATAAAGTAAAAACAGCAGCATAAGCACTTACAATATGATTCACAATTGTTTAATTTGCCATTTGTTGTGTTTTGCATTTTATAATGAATTTGAGAAGGCTAATCATGAGTTTTACTGAGTGAGTCAAAACAATGTATACATCCATTCTGACCTAGAATGCTTTGGTATTTCCTGTATGTGTGTGTGTGTGTGTGTGTGTGTGTGTGTGTGTGTGTGTGTGTGTGTGTGTGTGTGTGTGTGTTCTATGGGGAGAATGTTTGCACTGATTAAATTTAATTCAATGTTTGATTTACAACAGATTTCCAGCAGACACCACAGATGATTTAGCTGTAGAAATACAATTGTTTTATCAGTTTGGCAGGCAATAAGGCTTGACATGATTATCCCACATATCACTGGAAGTATCCCAGAACGCACATACATATGTATACACATACAGATCTTAACAATACAAATCATTATGCAGTATTTGTCTTCAGCTTGTTTTGTTAAAAGCTTGTAAAAACATCTATATACTTTTACAAATCACTTATTCATATGTTATTAACAGTAGAGACCACTAAAACTGGATGAAAAAGAATGCTAGAATAATAAAGTACTAGAATAATAAGGTTTATAACCACTGATTGCTTTATATAGGTCCCATCATGTTTTGGTCAGGACAGAAAAACAAAACAACTTCTAAATTGCATATTTTTATGCATTTACATTTTTATGCAATAGCTATTAAATCAGTTCGAATTTTTTTGTTCAACTGTGCTTTTTGAGTTCAGCGGTCTGTAAACATTTTAAGACCACTAAAACTGGATGAAAAAGAATGCTAGAATAATAAAGTACTAGAATAATAAGGTTTATAACCACTGATTGCTTTATATAGGTCCCATCATGTTTTGGTCAGGACAGAAAAACAAAACAACTTCTAAATTGCATATTTTTATGCATTTACATTTTTATGCAATATCTATTAAATCAGTTCGAATTTTTTTGTTCAACTGTGCTTTTTGAGTTCAGCGGTCTGTAAACATTTTTGAAGCCCAGCCCAGTCTGTTAGCATTGCTCAGTTAATCCCTGCCTATACCATATAAGCATATTTCTTCATTGATGTCCATTCAAAAGAATCAATTAATTCTAAAGATATATATACATATATTTCAAATGTATGTACATTTTAACCATGACCACTATCCTCCTGAGATGTAAGACTATGTGCACAAATGAAAAAAAAACACGGATCATGTTTATGCCTGGTTAGATTATCTCATTTAATTTGATATATAACATGCTAAAACACCTTAAATGTTAATATATCTACTATTTGATCAACAAAATAATATTAACATTTTATTAATAAAATAAACATGCATACAAGTTGCATAAAAGAGCTTTTTTTTTTGTGCAGATGACAATATTTAAACAGATTAGGTTAAAGTTGTGAAAAAAATGTAATTACATTTATAGCATATGGGAAAATTAAATATTTGAGATACATATCAGAAAACCACTGTTGCAGTCTTTACCATTCCATAATGCGAAAAAATAATATTAATACTAATACATCTACGACTACTACTACTAATGATAATTTACTCATTACCAGAATGCAAAAAAATTAATTATCGTTACTGTATAAGTAGCCTAAATCATGACTGCACGTCCAGTAGGTGACAAACACACATAGAATGTGAAAGGCACAAATTATATGATAACTGAATTTTTTAAAAATTAATTAAATGTAAAATGCTGAATCAAATATTAATACACATTTAAGAATTTTGACTGATTAGAGTAATAATGCAACTAACACATTAATGTACTGACGAATCATGATTTGTTAGCGAAAACATTCCTGCGCAGTTTTCACGCCCACTGAATCATTCACTCAACCGATTCATTCAAAACACTGAATCATTCACTCAACCGATTCATTCAAAACACTGAATCATTCAGAAATCAAACAACACTATTATGTTGCAACGGTCCTGCTGTCGCTTTGTTTGGAAATATTTCCGTTGGAGGAGCAAAGAGTAACTGTCAATATTGTGTCTAAAATGTAAGTCACTCAGTATTAACTCATTGTTTACAGAACTGAAAGCAATGTTTCACTTGCAGTACTTAACGTTGTTTTGAATAGGGTCGCGTGAGTTAAGCAGCTGTTTATATATTCCTGTTGTGTTATGATTGACAGAATTAGATGAACATGCCCCACTTGAAACGGTGTCTGAACGTTCAGCTAAACAGCAGGATTCAACCACTTCAGGTCAGAGCAAGATGTACTTTCTGGCGTTCAGGTTTTCAATATGTCTCAGACAGTAGTTGTATATTCCTGCAATGGCCTTTGTGTTTTGTGTGCTCTTGTTGCTGGGGGAAGAATATCAGCTCAGCAAAACAAACCAAGAAAGACAGCTTTAATACTGACTCACTGGAGCAGACAGTGCTGGATTATGGAGTGGGTCAGTTGTGATAGTGGCTACATAGAAACAACTGAATATTGGATTACTTAAAAAGAATGGACTTGTTTGACATTTTGTACAACAGCTGACTTGTATGACATTTTGCTCTTTGCACTGAAAGGTGAAGGCATTCAAATGCATGGCAAAACATTGAAAAAAAGTCCATCTGCTTTAGATTAAATTCTACCAGACTGCAGATCTTGAATGTCCTGAAAACCTTCATCAACATCAAAAGCTGGAGTCCTAATTATGAATTATTCATGTGAATAATAAATTCTTTAATTAGATCTGTACCACAAGTAAATAATGCATAAAAAATATATAAATAATAAACACATATTTAAATAAATAATCATGTTGCTTTGAAATAATGTGCATTATGAAAAGCGCTATAGAAATAGAATGTACTTAACTTAAAACTTTACAAGTAAGCCTGGTACAAAGTAGTAAAATTGCCTAAATGTAACCCCAAATTTATTTGATATAATAATAATAATGAGTGAGCATTTTGTATTATTATTTGTATTGAATTATTACTGCATTTTAAAATACAGTGGGAGAAAGTGGGGCTAAGAAAGAGAAAGACCGGATGTGAGGGAGCAGGTTTAACAGATGTCAAGGGAATCATGATCAAAACCAAAGTTCATGGCTTCTGTTCTGTTTGACAGTACAGCACTCTTTAAAAATCAATGGCAGAGTCAGGAAAGGAAGTCAGACAATATTCAATGGTCTTTTGATCTGTACATTGCATTGAGCCTTCTCAAATAAAGAATAACACTTCTAGTTAGGGCCCTATGAAATCTGCTTTATTCTTTCCCCCAAATTCTGTATTCCATTTCCATTTTTTTTCTGGATTCAGTTTTAATAATAAAAAAATTAATCAAGAGGATAACTGATCAATTGAATTCATACAACTTTAACAATTTATTGATTTATAAAATGTTAACAATAATAATACGTTTTCTTTTTTTCTGAAATTCTGTGTTGTCTGTTTACCATATTTAAAGGGGTCATATGATGCTATTTTAAAGATCATTATTTTGTGTATTTGGTGTAACAGAATATGTTGACATGCTTTAATGTTCAAAAAACACATTATTTTTCAAATACTGTTTTGCTTTCGCACTGAAACACACAGCGTCTCCCTGACATGCTGTTTCAACACTAACTGCGGTTACTGAAACCATGCTTTCTTTCTTTGCGTGCACATTTGGGCATTATGCTAATATTTCCACATATTGACGTAGATATGTGGGGGCGTGTTAGAATGAGCCGTTTTAGGGGGGCGTGGCAGAGTCTTAACTTTGATAAAGAATATCTCTTTGGTTTTGAGACTTTAGTCTTTGCAACTTCAGGGATCTTATCTATGCACAATCAGCTTGTAACACTCCAAAGAGAAAGGAAAACTTGAAATCGCATCATATGACCCCTTTAAAATAATATGTTTGTGTATCCTTATGTACATTTTTGTCTTTTTTCGTTTTTTAAAAAAATAATTTTGCCTGTGTTAATGCCCACAGCATAGATTTTTTTTGCATAGTTTGGCGTGTATTTTTATTAGAATTTTTATATTTCACCTTCATTTCCTTTAATAGATCTATTTTACACTAGGTACACAAAATAATGTCCCAATAAACCCATTCAAATAGCTGTTTTTTTATCCCAAGGCCATTCATCTAGATTCTAGACTTTCAATCTGTTGGCAAAGCTTCAAAATTTATTTAGCCTATTTATTTATTTATTTTTACCAAATGCTGCTATTTTCTCAGGTTTGGCCTATAAAGTAATGGCTTTTTCTCCCCCTTCCCCTTTTCTGCTTTTGCTGTGTTTTAGAGCCAGCTGGATAAATTATGCAAGTAGAATTGTGTGGGTGTGTTGTTATGGATGTCAGAGTGTGGTTTGTATGAGTGAACTAAAAAATGTGCATGTGTCTGTGCGTCTGTAAAGAGAGAAATTATACTGTTCTGTGAATCACAAATCCCACTGCTGTGTATACCAGCAAAGTACTGCTGGCATCTATTGGGAAAAGTTTGGTACTGTGCCCGTATAAGATCTTACTAAAAGCTAATTTTTTGAGATATAAACCTCAAAATTGGAACACAACTTGTTTAGATTTATGGCTTTGATTTTCTAGCAATTTTGGTGTTCAACATGTTTTATAAAATATATAATTTAGATAAAAATGTGCTCATAAATCATTTTTATGAACTGAAACCTCTAACTTTTTTGTTTGACTGAAGAGCCACTGTCCTGCAGAGTTTAGCTTCAGCTTGCCTCAACACAGTTTCTAGTATGTGTAGTAAGACCTTGATTGGCTGGGTCAGGTGTTTAATTGGGGTTGAGGCTAAACTCTGCAGGACAGTGAAGTTCAAGAACAGGATTGGACACCACTGGTTTAAAGGGGTCATATGATGCGATTTCAAGTTTTCCTTTCTCTTTGGAGTGTTACAAGCTGTTCGTGAATAGATAAGATCCCTAAAGTTGCAAAGACTAAAGTCTCAAACCCAAAGAGATATTCTTTATAAAAGTTAAGACTCGTCCACGCCCTCCTAAAACGCCTCGTTTAAACATGCCCCCACATGTCTAGGTCACGATGTGGGAAGATTTGCATAACGCCGCCCAAATGTTCACGCAAAGAAAGAAGGCGTAACTTTATTGTTGCTGTCACTGCCGCCGCCGTGCTGTGAAGACGCTGTGCGTTTCGTTGCGAAAGCGAAAATACTTTGTTTGGCCTTCCAAAAGAGGACACGACTAGAAATCAGTGGTTAAGTTGAATTTACAACACTGTTCACTTTTTAACAACATCATATGACCCCTTTAAACTATTGACTATTGCTACAGTTTCAAAATAGCATCCCCAGCACTTGTTTAAATGTGTTGAAATCATTTCAAGTTGTATTTTGCTATTATTATATATTAGAAAGAATGTAATGCCTCTATTACCATTTTTTAAGATAAGAGGGTGATGAGGCTGAGGGTTATGCTGTTTCATTTGGCAAGTCTCACTTTATCAGTCTTCTTTCCCCTCAGGCAGGCAGGTTTTCAGGAAGTCATGGTTCCTGGTGTCATTTCTCTTATCAGTTAGACTAGCGGCAGATCCTGAATCAGCAGGTAAGACACACACTGATGTATGCATCTCCTAAAGCTTGTTTAATTACTCCTCACTGTACCCGAGCCTCCTCCGAGGCAACACCATTAATGCAGCTCTGCCTCGGAGCGTCTCCCTCTGGCCTCTTCACTCTGTCCTCCTCTGGGCTTTCCCTAATGATTCAAAACAGCTCTGTAGTCAGGCTGCTCCCATGTCCATGTCCCATTCTTGACTCCCGCATAGTCAGAGCCTGCATGAAGCAACTAATCTCTATACATTTTGCATACTGTAGTTATACTGGAAGTCATATTCAGCATAACATGCATTACAATTCAAATGTTTTTGAAAGAAGTACATATCTCATGCTCACCGAGGCTGCATTTATTTGATCAGAAATACAGCAAAACTGTGAAATATTATCATTTCAAATAACTATTTTCTATTTTAATATATTTTAAAATGTTATTCCTGTGATGGCAAAAGCTGAATTTTTAGCAGCCATCAACTATTAACAGTGTCACATGATTCTTCAGAAATCATTTAAATATGCTGGAGCAAATTTGGTTGTGGAAACAATTCAACTCAGAAATTGCTAGTAAATTTCACAGTTAATGTCAAAGAAACAGCAAGTTATACACTGAAATAAATGTGAAAGTCGGAAGTAGAAAGACTGAAACCCGTTTCCCGAAACCACTTTTCAAACAAACATTCACTAAAAGCATCGCAACCTTACATGGATGGAACTATAGTTCTCGATTTGTGGTTAGAAGCATAATGCTCTGTTAGTATGACGTGGATTTAATCTGTCATTAAAGTGCCCCTCCTGTTGAAAAAAACCAGCATATGCTGGTTAGGTATGTTTTGAAGCTGGGATGCTGGTTTAAGCTGGTCCTTTGCTGGTTTATGCTGGTCTTTAGCTGGTCATGTGCTGGTCCTAAACTGGTCCGACCAGCTTAAGACCAGCACATCACCATCTAAGGACCAGTTTAAACCAGCAAAGGACCAGCTTAAACCAGCTCAAACCAGCCTCCCAGCTTCAAAACATACCTAACCTGCATATGCTGTTTTTTTCCAACAGGATTTTTGAAAATTTCCTTTCATGCAGTGTGTAACACAGCTCTAAGTGAATGAAAACATCCTGCAAAGTTTTAAATCTGATTTAAAGTCTCTCAAAAGAAAGAGTCGACTCTGAATCACTGAAACGAGTCGTTTTTAAAACGAATCCCAAGCCGTTTCATGTTGACGTCAAAATTAAACATTAGCATATTGCCACAGCTCTAAGTGAATGAAAACATCCTGCAAAGTTTTAAATCTGAAAGTGCACAGTGTATAAAGTTATTGTCTCTCAAAAGAAAGAGTCGATTCTGAATCACTGAAACGAGTAGTTTTTAAAACGAATCCCAAGCCGTTTCATGTTGAAGTCAACATGAAACATTAGCATATGCCTGCCCACTTGTTGGCATTCAAGTAATCACAATGCCTAAATATAAGTTAAAGAGTGGGAGAGTGACAAGTCTCAAAACGTGAATTATTGTGGAGTGAGATGACAAGAAGGCCCAAGTATGCATGTACTGCATCCAGTCAGTCACCACAACGTTACTAAACACACACACACACACACACAATGCAGAAGCTCTGGTGCTGATGTAAACGTCGACAGCCGCACTTATCACGAGAGCTCAGCAGACAGACGTTATGATTCATGAGTGACAGGTTTTT